TGGGATGGTTTGTTCACAAACATGTATTTTGTCTCTTAGCCAACGTTCGATAGAGATCTCAAAATCAGATTTTCAGTAGATTTTAATAAAAATTGATAGAATTATGTGTGGTTGAAAAATTATGGATCATATAAAATATGTTTAAAATTAATTGTTGATTTTGACTTAAGTTTTAATCAATTTTTTTAGCGATATCGAACCCAGGCTTAATGGTGAACAAAGAGTTAATTACATGTCTCTATTGAAGTTATTGACTGTTATAGAAGCATTTTTAGTATGTTTGGCTAAACTTAAAACTCAATTAAAATTGAAAATATAATCGTTATTGAATCTCACTCGTCTAATAAAAGTCAACATAACGGTTAGTTTTTCAATTTTAATTCGATTTTAATCTCTATCGAACACGCCTTTTAAATGTCTTTTCAAAAGTTATACGTAATCTTCTCTTCACGTTTGTTTTTTCATAAATAAGTTTCCTTGTCAACCAATATTAATTATTTAATTCCTATTTTACCCTTTTGTGTTTGTATTATATTTTTATATTTTCCAATCCTAATTTTGACACCCTAGAATTTCTCGATCTCTTTGAGGTTTGTACAAAGATTAGAATATTGTGGGTCTAGCAAAGTTTAGGTTACATTTTTCTATGATGCTTGAGAGTTTATGTGAGAGAAAAATTATTTGTAGTTGTAATAATTTTTAATATATTAGAAATTTGTTGACTTTGACCATCCATAATTTTTTGTTCTTAAATATTTTTCTGAATAAGGATTATGCGTACTAACCAAAAACTTGGATCAAGTGTCTTTCAGGGGGTTAGCATATAGGAAAATTCTATTTGACCAACCTCGGTTAACAACATCTCACGTGTGTGGGGTCCGCATGTTTAAAAAATTCAAAAAAAAAAAAAAGAAAAAAAGTGGACCCCCACATGTGATTGGTTGTCAGCCGAGGTTGTACAACTAGCATGACTCTAGCATATAGCATATACGGATGATGAACT